TCTCCAACGTAATGTCTAACGTCATTTGCTTGTACAATACCTACATCATCATTAACAGAAGAATCCTTCCTCGGAAGGGGATTATCATCGAAAACAACATGTATAGACTCTTCTACAACTAAAGTTCTTTTATTAAATACACGATAAGCTTTAGAATTTAAGGAATAACCCAGAAAAATTCCTTCATCACTTTTAGCATCAAATTTACCAAGATTTTCTTTACCGTTGTTTAAAACAAAACATTTACATCCAAAAGGATGAAAATAGCTAATGTTAGGCTTTTTATTTTTGAGAATTTCATATGGAGTTTTCTTTAAAATTGGCCTAATCATTACTCGATTTACAACATAACAAGCGGTATTTGTGGCTTCCGCCCAAAATATTTTGGCAAATTATTTCACAAAGCATGGTTCTAGCCATTTCTTCTAAAGTTCGATTTTTCCTCTCAACAACTCCATTTTGTTGAGGGGTTCTAGGTGCTGAAAAATTGTGGCTAATACCGTTAGAATTACAAAACTCAATAAATCCAAGATTTTCAAATTCAGTTCCATGATCACTTCTAACACTAGTGATAGAGTAACCTTTTTCATTTTGGATTATTTTTGAAAATGTGATGAAATTTTCTAATGCTTCATCTTTAGTACTTAAGAATAGAACCCAAGTGTATCTAGAATAGTCATCTACCAAGACAAATGCATATTGTTTTCCTCCCAAGCTAGTAGTTCTAGTTGGCCCAAAAAGATCTAAATGGATCAATTGTAATACTCTACTAGTTGATACATCATTAATAGATTTAAAAGAAACTCGTTTTTGTTTTCCTTTAGCACAAGCATCACAGATTTTATCATTATCAAATTTAAGCTTAGGCAACCCTCGAACTAAATCACCTTGAATTAGCCGTTGCAAAACACTCATACTAGCATGACCTAGTCTCCTATGCCATAACCAACTATCATGCTCATCCTTAGCAACTAGGCATAAATTAGTCATATCAATAGAATCTAAATGCACCATGTAAATGTTTCCTATTCTATGACCAACAAGCATAATCCGATTAGATGCAATGTCAATGACTTTACAACCATTAATTTCAAATAAGACATTGAATCCTTTATCGCATAATTGACTAATACTCAATAGATTATGCTTTAATCCATTCACATATAAAACATTTTTAATTTGTATGGAAGAGGTATTACCTATTGTACCAATACCTTTAATGTGACCTTTTGAATTGTCTCCAAAAGTCACTTCTCCTCCATTTTTGGCGTTAAGCTCAATGAACCGGCTTTTGTCTCCGGTCATATGTCTTGAGCATCCACTATCAAGGTACCATGAGTTTGAATTTGTTTCCCGTGCCTTGTAGCAATGCTCCTTTCCCTACAAACATAGATTAATTTTTGATTTTTGGTACCCAAATTCTTTTGGGTCCATATTCATTAGTTTCCAAAATCCTAGTTCCCTTAGGTATCCATTTTTGTAGGATATCTTTATCTTTAGTAGTAATGAGTCCTTTAGGAACCCATATACTTCTAAATATTTTACCATTTAAGGTTCGTTGAGGATTTCTATGATTGTAGTTTCTAAAATCTTTTCTAACAAAGTTGGATTTTGAATTTTCTCCTTTTTCAAAACGTTTTGTTCCAACTTTTTCAAAAGAGATTTTAAGATCATCAATTTTCTTTTGATGATCATCATTGACCTTTGAAAGTAAATTTTGCAAATCTAAATTTTTCTTTTCAAACTCTTCTAGTTTGATTTGCAAATCTTTAATTTTACTTTCAAGATCATTGTTGGTTTTGGATATGAGTTTATTTTCATTTTTCAATTTTGAAACATCATTTTTATATTTTAAAAATAATTTCTCATAATCCGAAGCCAACCCATTATATTCCTCTAATAGCTCATCATAAGATAAATCATCAAAATCAGACGAGTTAGAGGTTACCTTAGAATCTTCCCCGAATGCCATCAAGCACAAGTTTGCTACTTCTTGTTCCTCTTCATCGGAACCTTCTTCATCGCTCCATATAGCCACATGAGCCTTGTGCTTATTCTTTGATTGACCCTTTTTCTTCAATTGTGGGCAATCATATTTGACATGCCCCGGCTTTTTGCATTCATAGCAAATGATTGGGTCCTTCTCTTTTGGTTCATTTTTGAGGCCTTCGTTTCGTTTGAATTTTCTTCCTTGGTAAGGTCTCATCATTTTTCTGAACCGTTTGGCAAACAATGCCATTTCCTCGTCATCATCATCATTAGAATCACTCTCATCTTTTGTGGATTTGAGAGCAACTCCAATGTTTTTCTTCTTCTCCTTCTCCTTTGGTGTCTCTTCAACTTTATCAAGGTCCACCTCATCTTCAAGCATCATCTCATGAGTGAGGAGTGAACCGATAAGTTCTTCAAGAGTTAAGGACGATAGGTCCTTAGACTCGATGATTGCCGTCTTCTTTGATTGCCATGATTTTGGGAGGGAGTAGACTAACTTCCTCACAAGCTTTTCATTTGAGATGATCTCTCCATATGATTTGAGACCATTGACAATCGTTGAAAATCTATCCGTCATAGCTTTGATGTCTTCATTTGGTTTCATCCTGAAATTTTCATAGCTATGCGTTAGAATACTAATTTTTGATTTCTTTACCTCATCTGTACCTTCATGTGTGACTTGAAGTTTGTCCCATATTTCTTTGGCGGTTGTACACGATGAAACTCTTCCGTATTCATCTGGTCCAAGAGCACAAAAAATAATATGGATGGCTTTGGAGTTGAGCTGGAACATTCTTGTCTCTCCTTCACTCCACAACCTTGGATGAGTGAGAGGTTTGATGTATCCTTCTTCTACAGCATTCCATGCTCCCATGTCACTTGCTTGAATGAAGTACATCATTCTATTCTTCCAATAGGCATAGTTAGCTCCATTGAAGAAAGGAGGCTTGTTGACGGGCATCGAATCAAGACCGGAGTCGAAGTTTGAAGTGGAGGCCATTGATGACTTTGTAATCGATGTAACTCTTCCCGGATCGACTCAAGAGGCGATTAAACCTTCAAATGAGTTAGGCTCTGATGCCAATTGTTGAGTTAATCGAATGACGAAATTGGCCAAGAGGGGGGTGAATTGGCAATAAAAATTTTGTGGAAGCTTTTGCAGAAAATTGAAAGCAATTGCACAGCGATTTACAGTGGTTCGACTTTCTCAAACAAAGTCTACGTCCACTACCTTAGCTATCCACACTAAGGATTTTCCAACAAATTCACTAATTTGTTCTTTCTTTTGAGGCCAAAGAGATAACCTTACAATTCCCTCAAGAGTATACCCCAACTCTTGAGAACACTCTTTTCTCAAAGAGAAGATTACAAATTTGCAAACTTACAAGAAAACCTCACAAGGTAAGATGTTTGCACAATTCTAGAACAAAGAAAAGAACACTCAAAGATGAATACAATTGAGCACAAAAAGTGTTCTTGAAAGCAAAATGAATATTGAATGAAAATGGGCTTGAAATGCTCAAACTTGAGGTTTGATGCTTTCTCTTTGATTCTCTCTTGATTCTAGTTGCTTGATGTTTCTTGTTATTGATCAATGGCTTCTAAGCTTGCTTAAATACACCTTGAATCACTTCTGAACGTTGGGGATAATTAGAGAAGATATTATAGCCGTTTTAGTGTGAAAACATTTAATAAAACAGCTTGGACAGTGGGGGGAATCGGTTCCCTATCATAGGGAATCGGTTCCCTAAGTGTAAAATTCAAATATTTCGACCGTTGAACAGGGGGGAATCGGTACCCCCTTGGGGGGAATCGGTTCCCTCCGAGCATTCTGGAAATCTCGGAGCCAAACCATTCAGGGGGGAATCGGTTCCTCCTATGGGGGGGAATCGGTTCCCTCTGAGTATTCTGGAATTTTTGGCTTTGAATTGGTTCGAAATACTTTGTAAAATATTTTGAAATTGTTTTATGATTAAAACTTAATTTTACACTTAAGTAAGGATCAAAAAATGATTTTTGAAATATTTGGAGTAATGTTTTGATATTCGAATAGTTATATCGAATATACTTAGAAAATCATTTGGAAAATCTTAAAATCCATTTAACTTAATTTGTTATATCGAAATATTAAAATGTTTCAACAAATTTTTCAAATCATTCAAACCATACCCAAAGTTAATTTTAGGTATTTAAATAATTTTTTATTAAAAATAAGTATATAATATTTTTAATATTATCATTTTAGGTGTCTAGACCGTAATCGATGTTAAAAAATTTAGTTAAGTTACATGTATCATATTCTGACAATTTTGAAAATTTTTATTTAAAATAAAAAACATAAAATATATTTTTAAGAAAAAACCAAAATTTTCTCAAATCATAAACAAATCCCGAAACTTTAAAACTCTAATTTTAATCACTTTCTCACGTCGGTCGCTGCCATTTGTTGTCGTAGTTGCCATCGACCGAACCTAACCCCGACTGCACCTCCACTCGACGGGCAGCCACCTGACGAACAATCACTGACGAATCTCAGGTCACGATTTAAATCCAACGACCACAAGGAAAAACACAACCTTTGTGTGACTCCACGTGGTCTGACAGTTCGATCAAAGACAAGGAAGAAGGCGACCAAGAAGGCATATGGCAATAGTGACGTCGACATCGATGGCAATCGATAATAGGGATAAATAAGGATTAGGGTTAGGGATTTGAGATTTTAGATAAATTAGGGTTTTTTTTATAAATATAATAAGTTTTTTTAATAATTTTTAAAAAAATAAGAGAACATGATATGTGTCACTCAAAAAAAAAATTTAAGACGATTACCGTTCAGGCACCTAAAATGATAACGTTTATATGAGAGACCTATTTTTAATAAAAAAATTCTTTAAACATATAAAATTTACTTTAAGTATACTTTAAACATTTATTTTACATTAAAGTCTATAATAAGAATAGGGGCTAACTAGTTCTGATCTAACAACTAAAAAGCTAAAAACGGACACTGTTGTTAATTTCGTTGCTTATTAACTTCCCATCTTCTCTTTACTCTAAAAAAATTCCGCAAGTCCCCAATCTCATTGGTTTTTCGCGTCAGTGCCATGGATCGAGTCCAGCTCCTCCTCGTAGGATTACCTCTTTTCCTCTTCGTCACCGATATCTTTAACCTCTTCACTCCTCCGCCGCCTAAACCGCCGTGCCACCACCATCATACCCCCTTACCCAAACCTCCATTCAATCCTGAAATCATAGATATTCCTTTACAGGTAAGTTTAATCATTGATCAATTATATTAATTTAATTTCTCATTTGATTTTTCCATTTTTTTCTTTCTTTCGAAGAAACCCAGCATTGGAGGAATCGGCTATGGCTGCACGGTGAATATCAATTTCTGCGCTTCATGCTCTTACAGGTTCTTCTTGATTTTCAATTTTTATAGTTTCCTTCCCTTTCTGTATCAAAGTCGATAATGTTTTTGGAGGAATTAAAAAAAGTATTCATGGAAATTTGCAGGGGAACTGCCGTGACAATGAAGAAGATGCTGGAAACCCAGTTCCCTGGAATTGATGTGATCCTTGATAATTATCCACCACCTTTGCCAAAGCGGTTGCTTTCCAAAGTGGTTCCAGTTTTCCAGTTTGGAGTTATAGGGATTGTAATGGCGGGTGAACAGATATTTCCTATGATCGGGATTATGACTCCGCCCCCATGGTATTATTCCTTGCGTGGAAATAGGTTTGGGTCCATTGCAACTGCTTGGCTTCTTGGCAATGTAATGCAGTCTTTTCTGCAAAGCTCTGGTGCTTTCGAGGTTTACTGCAATGGTGAATTGGTTAGTGACCTTTCTGCTATGTATATGTCTAGTGTACTGAGCATTTTAGAAACCAAAACCCAGTTTCTTATTGCTTAATTAATTTATGGAGTTGTTTTAGCTTTTTAGAAAACCTAAGATTCAATTCTGGTATCTATACAAGTTATGCTTCTCTTAATTTTTTGTTTGAAGACCCAAGTAGTGTTGAATCTCAACTCAATTTTTCAATTACATTTTAAGATGCAGGAATTGATGTTTCTAGCTGCTTACCTTCTTTCACTTTCTGAAATTAAAGGTTTTCTCTAAGCTGAAGGAGGGAAGGTTTCCGGGAGAGATCGAGTTAAAAGATCTCGTTGGCAAAACATTGGCTAATTCAAGAGTGACGTACAACCTTGGTGTAGTGTGGTCTTAGCTCAGTGGCTGGACTATATAACTGTTGGATTGAAAGCACTCGACCTTACCAGTTCAAGGTTTGATCTTCTCTTTGGTTATTACTTAGATTGCTGCAGTGAAAACATACAAAGATATTGGCTCAGGTTTTACGTCACTTTTGTATCTGAACTTTCATTGCACTTGTGGGAGCTGCTTTAATTTAATAAACGTTATCAGCTGAGAATCTCAGTGCCCGATAGTTTTCCAATTTGGCTAAATTTTAACCAAGTATTTTGTTTACAAAAAAATTCAATAGTATTATTTATGGAATAGGGTGCAAGTATTTGGATCAACTGAACAAAGTTAACTCTCTTACAAAGTTAGAATCTATAACCTGCTAATGTCACGACCAAACACAGAAGTAGTAAGCCAATTAATAACCACATAGAATCTGTTCCTCCAGCTAACGACCCGTGTTAGATATGCTGAGCGCCATATAAAGAAGCTGAAGAATCCTGCTAGAGATACCCCTTTTGCCTCCTATAAAATCAATCATAAATGTATCAAAAATCACCCAAACTAATTGCTTCCAAACATAAATAAATAAATAAATCACCTTGCTCTGTCTTAGGTCAACAAGAGCCTTGAATCTGCCAACAGTTGCCATGCTTCCTAGATGCTTGTACTCGAATGGATCCCCAAAGTCTAATTCTTTAGCACTGTTAGCATGTCCCCCGCCATTTTTACCAATTTTGTTCAGTAGGTTTGCCAAGTACTTTCCTTGTCGCTCTGCAACCTGTTCATGAAAGACATATTAGCTCCACGGTTTTTTAAGACTCAATTCTGTGCACCATCTTTTCTTAAAACCTAGTAAGAAAATTCACCGTATTGCTTTTGACCTCCAGTAGGCTAAATACATAACTTGGTATTTTATTATTAGACCTGGCCATTGCAACGAATTCGTCTGGTAACAGAGAGACAGGTTATTCTTGCTGGACACCCAAGTCTAGTTTCCATATAACTGGCTGACATTACCTTAGGCTTTACGATCACAGAAGAATGGAATCATAGCTTAGAAAAGGTGAGGAGTATATTCTCAACAGTTACCTGTGCTAAAGCGGGAAGAACTGGTTTACCAGTACTCTCCAGAAACCCACTGCAGTCACCTATTGAAAACACATCTTGCACTGTAGGAACTCGAAGCCACTCATCAATGCCAATCCTGTTAGTCATAAAATTTAAATCAACCCATAGTGAAGTAAAGCTTCACAAGGCAATGATACAAGGTAAACTAGGATCATTCCTTTTAGTTGTTACCATCAAAACCAAAATTGTTCACAATTTTACGAAGATTTTTTTAAGACTTCACTCTGATGTTGTTGCTTACCTTCCACCAGGAGATTTAGGAAGGCCTAGAGAGTTTACAAAAGGAGAAGGACCAACACCGGTTGACCATACTAGCAATCCATAAGGAACCTCTGAACCATCACTGAGGATTACATGTGCAGGTTTAACGTCCTTTACAATACCACGAACAAGACGAACTCCTGACTAAGAAAAACTACTAAATTAAACAAGAAAAAAATAATACCCCATAAAGTTTTTTTCCCTTTTTTTTCTAAAAAAAGGTCATATTTGCAGCAATCGGCACGTTTTCACCTTTGTTAACTGCTTAATTGCATAGATCCGGAGGCGATCATCAAATGAAGAGAGTATATCATTTGCCTGAAAAAACAAAAGAAGTATTCTATATTACAATTGGAAAATCACCACAAGAGAACAACTCCTGACAAGAGTTTTTGATTGGGAACTAACCTCAATCAGTGTTACATTGATATAGTCTTTTACATGTGTGTATCTTTGGTGAACATCCTTCCTAATAAAATCACTAAGTTCACCACTAAACTCAACCCCTGTAGGACCTCCTCCTACAACAACACAATGCAGCAATCGACGTTTCTCTTCTTCAGATATCCCTGCCTCAACACCAAACTAGTAAGCCATAATATCTATTCACACTTTTTAGTTACTTCGTTTTCACCATGAAAAAAAGAGAGGTAAAAACCACCAAAGTAATATATTTTTTTACCTGGCACATCGGAAAGCATCAAGTTCAGAAGTAGCTTCCTTCGAATTGCCTGAGCATGGTGAACCTCACGTAAAAAAACCGCATGTTCTTTTACGCCATTGATTCCGAAAGTAGATGCCTGAGCTCCTGATGCAATCACCAACTTATCATATGAAATCTTGAATTTCCACGGTTCCAATGTTTGAGCTCCTTCAGTAACAGTCTCACAATGCACCTTCAATGCCCAGCGAAAACGTTCCATGATTAAAGCCATTGAAAAAACTCATTTCCAACTAACAGTAATTATTTTAACCAATTTGCACATACCTCATGGCTGTCGGTATTCAAAGCAGTACAATTGGCAAGAAAGAAAAAGGAGCCGGGTGCTGTAGAAACGGAGGGTTGAATCCTGGCAATGGGTTCAGCGACGGACCTGAACTCGAGAGTCCCAACACAAGTTGAAGCCAAGAGGGGAGTAAACACCATGTGATTTCTAGGTGAAACGCAAACGATGTCGTACAGCTCGGGATCCAACCCTTTCATTAGCCTGCAACCAGCCCAACCCGAGCCTAACACCACCACCCTTGGTTTCTCATCTGCCTTGGTGGGTCCAAGACCTAGAGGCTCAGCCACAACTGGGGGTTGGTTGGCGGCGGTGCTGAAATGGGATAAAGAAGTTAGTATAAGATTTGTGGTGTTGTGGCTCTTAGCTTTGGTAGCTGTCGAGATTTTGATAAAATTTCTAAACCAGAGCATGGCTGGTTACGTATCGTTCACAAAAGAAAAAGAATGTTAAAAGACTTTTGGGATATTAGAGATGGTTTTTAGGTCCAAAGATTGTGGATATTCTTTATTTTCTGCGGAATTTATATGCCTCGTAGTAGATTGATTTTTGTTGGATCAGTAACTGACGTGGTAGACAAAGCTGATGGGTTTATGCCATGTGTCCGATTTCAGAACTCATGTTCACCAGCAAAAGACAATACTCATTGGCTACACTTATCTTTATGAAAAGAAAAACGCATAATGCAAAAAATACTCATGTTGACTCCATTTTTTTAATCAGGATTTTCTTCTAAACTGCTGTCATCACTTTTAACTGCTAAAATGGTGCTGCCTAAAGAACTGTTAGGCACTCTATGAATGTGTCTCGAGGTTTCTACATGGTAGCTTCCGACCATTGCCAATCTGAGTAACGATGGCAAGCTAAATGGGAATTAAAATAAGATAACAAAAACAACTTGTATCAAATCTCACGATTACAAAAGCTAAACAAATGCTAGCATCAGGATAAATTAATGCGTAAATTAGAAAGAGTTGTTAACCTAGTGCATAAACTGCAAGGGAAAATGACAATAAACCTCAGAAAGTATCACAGATGCTCGAAGATTTGAATATGACCGCATAGTATGGTTTTTTAGAAATTCAGAGACGAACCCAAAGATATTATTTTGGTTTAAAATGAAACTGATTATTTAATTAAATGTTAGAGAAATTTGTTAATATTATGTCAAAAAAAAACGATTTTTTGGTTTTTTATGAAGATAAATTACACCGTTAAGTCATCAACCTATTGTTTCTTTCTTATTTTAGCACCAATTTTGTTGTGGAAATTTTTTTTAATGATTTTATTTGAACCGATAAGATAGTGACATATGTCAATCATCAAGGTTTTAATTTTATCGGTCAAACCACTTAACTATTTAAATGATGTCAATAAAGTTGCATGCAGTTAACATTTAACGAAAGAGTCGACATGATATTTAATAAAATTAATATAATTATATATTTAATCTTCATTACTTACACATTCTATCAATTCAATCTTAATTTTAATTTAATTCAAAAAAATTTACCATTCAATCAAATGATGATATAGTCTAAAAATAAAAGCGGCACATCTCAATAAAGCTATTGTTAAATATAATTCATTTTATTATTTTTCAGTTAACTTTTTTTCTACTCATATAACTTATGCATTCACTTTCTAATTTCCACCTATTTTTTATTTCTTGAATTTCTTTTCTTCTTCAAAAGATTTAACCTCACCTTTTTTTAGTAAGAAATGTGTTTATTATCTTAAGTTTATCTTTAAAAAAGTCGGACAACCTCAATAAAACGAAGAATAAAATGTTAGTATTAAACATCATTTTTTTAAAACCACATCTTAATCACAAAAATTCTAAGAGACATTTGTCGACCAATTTTCCGTTTGTAAAAAAAAATCCATGGCTGCCAAAGATGTACGGATAACCTCATCTGCCATACAAAGACACTTCACCGATTACCACATTTAAAGCAGCATATTTCATAACAATTAATACCACATCAGACCCGGCGGTGACACAAATGATTCGGCAAACGAAAACAACACACAGCGCCAACGATCACAACTCACAAGGGATCGACACGTCCCACGACAATTCCAAAAGGGTCCTACCCGGTTACCCACACATTAAATTCACGACAAGGCACCATCTCCTCTCTCTATATATACCGTCTCTCATTCACCTCTTCTTAACCCAGAAAAAAAAATCAATACATAATACGATTACAATCATGCTGCTTGAAATGAGCAAGGTCGGATCCTACCCTCCTGTGTTTCGCCAACTGAACAGCATTGTTCTTCCTCAACCCAAGAGCTACTCCATTGAAGACACCCAAGATTCAGTTCCCGTTCCCATGGTTGATCTTCAATGTCTTACCCTGCATAAGCTCGATGAAACTTGTAAGAATTGGGGTATTTTTCGTTTGGTTAACCATGGGATTCCTTCAACCCTTTTGACCAAACTTCAACGCCATGCCAACATGCCGTTTTCTTTGTCCTTTGAGTCCAAGCAAGCTTTGATCACTAACCCTATGTCTTATTTCTGGGGTACGCCTGCCTTAACCTCATCTGGGACTGCCCTAAACGGCGCGTCCTCGAATTTGAACTGGTTGGAAGATTTCAATGTTCCACAAAGTCAACTCCCACAGCTTCAATCTCAGGATCCCTTGCTTCATTGTTTCAGGTACTGTTTCATTTTGTTTTTATATATTTTTTGTTTCCTTTTGGTTGGCGTTTTTAGATTTTGTGTTGCTTTTGGGTGGCCAATAATCACAATGAGACCAACTGATCCTTTTTTATTTCGAAAAATGACGATTGCAGCGTCAGTATCAATAACTTTTTTAAGACACTAACAAAAAAAATAGGTTAAAACAATAATCAACTAATGCCGGAATATAATATTTATTATATATTTTTCGGTATGTATTTAAACTCTGAAAATTTTGTAAAATATTATATTTTCTTTTATAATGGAGAGCGCCTAATAAACTATTTTAATCTAATTTTTGGAATTAATGCATGACTAGTCAGCTGTGGCATCCAAAAGCCAAATGCAGAAAGGCACAAGAATGACTTCCTAACAGCATTTGATAGATATATTTCACGAGTGAGCAGTGCCCGAGCCTTTCCGTGAATAGAAAATTATTAATATTCTTTGCCATCACATATATAAACAAAATCATGGATCTGCATATTTTCCCCCGTTCTCCAAATGGCTTTGATGGTCGATCAAAGCACAGTAAAACTTACCAAATTGTCACCACTTTGCTTAACCAGATATTTTTTTCTTCAACTATCTTTTCCATTAGGCTTTTGTTGGAAGAATATGGAAGGCACCTTTCAATAATTGCCACAACCTTGTTTGAATCAATGGCCAAGAATCTCGATCGATCCAAGTCCATGTTAAAAGAATCCACTGGATTTGTTCGGGTTTACCGGTATCCGCCGCTCCTCTCCATTGCCGGTGAGGCTCAGGGCATGATCCCACACACGGACAGCTCGTTGCTGTCGATAGTGAACCAAGACCATGTTGGAGGACTCGAAATTTTCAAGGACAATAAATAGCTCCTGGTTAACCCAATTCCAAACACCCTCATAGTCCATATTGGGGACATGATGCAGGTCTAGAAAACCTTAATTCAACTTCCATTTATATATATATAACGCTGAAATCTTACATATTTATTTTTTTGGGATTAAAATGTTTCGAGTTTAGGCAATAAGCGATGACGAATACACGAGTGTGAAGGGCAGGGTGAGAGGGAAGACGCAGGAGGAGCGGCTCTCTTTCTGTTACTTTGTATTCCTAGCCGAAGACAGTGATCCACAGCTCAAAAATACAAACCTTTTACTTACAAAGATTTCCAAGAACAAGTGCAAAAAGACTCCACGGCTAGGATGGCAAACGGGCGGATCGAGTGCGGATACCTCCTCCCCCATCCTCATACACACTTAATATTTTCAAATCCATTACCCTCCTACCACCCATGTTAGGTTAAATTTTTCAAATCCACACCCGTCCACGCGGATACATTCTTAAATTCATCATCACACTCACTACCCAACTAGAGACATACCCGATTAGACCCGCCTGACAGCAACCTTAAGTTATACATAAACAACAAACATAAAACAAACACGTCCATTAAGAAACATAATAAAATAAACCAGGATTATCTGAGTTAAATACTAATATAGACCTTAAAGTAATAAAACACTATAATAAAAAACATAATTAAAGCCTAGAAACATAAATGATAAACACATAATATTTTTGTTCTTTGGCATACATAAATGACAAACCCTAAAATTATATCTAAATTCATAATGGTACAAAATTTAATGGGTATTTAGTGGGCGGGCCGATGTGAGGCAGGAGGATGCGGGGCAGGTAAGGTCTCAAACCCATCACTCGCCCACTACCCGCGACGAGTAGTAATTCCTTTACCATCCCCACTACCTACTAAAATTATATTCATCCCCACCCCAATTGGAACGGATACGGTACGGAATCCACGAAATTATAGTCGTTTACCATCCCTAACCAAGGCTCTATATACGAAGTTGGCCTCCAAAGGTTCAAACTTTAATGCTACTTAAACCATAATTGTATTAAATCTTGAGTCTGCCACTTTATATTTGTACTTTATTGTAGTAATTCCTTTCAATATGGAAAGTGTGTTATTTTCTTTTCATTGTTTTGGATATAAAAAACGGGGTTATTTCAATTGACCCCCACAGCTCTGCCTATGTGAAGACCCCATTAAAACATATCTTTGTGTATCTTACTTAGATTGGGCGCTTTCTGAAGAGAAAAACCGCTGTCCATAAAATTTACTTTATTATAAGCGTAAATATTTGATTCAATTATGTCAAATTGACTAAAATTTTTAGTTAAAATGATTGGTTACCTTTTATCATCTTAAGATTACTTTAATTTTTTGAATCGAACCGAGTAAAATACAATTTGAATCAAGTCGAATATATTTTTAATTTAAATTAAGAAATATGTCAAAATAAAACCTTGTTTATGTTGAAAAAAAGAATAGATCTGCATCAGAAAAAACTCTATTCTTTATTTGTGACTATAAAAATGAGCACTAAATATGGTGATGTGAAAAAATTTAATTGAGAAAAATCGTGGGACTCTAGTCCAGTGTAAACTCGTCTTCTACTATCAAGTATGATTATAAAGATATTTCATTTAATATGAATAGTTTACAAAGTCTCTCAACAAATTGTCGGAACAAATATTATAGAAATGTCGACTCTCTATCTCTCACTCGGAGGATTACTCTTTCTGTCACTCACATACTTTGATTCACCCCTTTAGAGTTGTCTCAAAGTCACATATTTATGATAGAACAATGAGATAAACTAAAAGTCGTCATACATAGTCGGTAGACAAATCCATCATACGTGAAAGTATCTTGGAACTACAACTTCAATAAATGTCATACATAAATGTAGGTTGATATATCCACCAAACATGTGATACACCTCTTTGATTCCAATCAAGGAGGGATCCACCCAATAAATCTTTCCTTTCCTGACTTAATTGAGAGGAATAAGTAAATTAATGCATTGATAATATTCATCCAACTTCTTAATTGGAATGACGTTTACCATTATATCATTCAAATTTTGATCGGTGTGAACTTTATTCAAATCAAATAGATTTTCTTTTAACATATCTTTTATTCAACGACATCAAGTAAAAATAAAGTTAACTAAATGCTTTCTTATATTTTGTTTACTTATGTATGATGCAAATAACTTTAAGGGTGGAGTCCATTTGATTCCATTTCTAAATACTTACAAACAATTTGTTGCAAGTAAAAGAGTGATAATGAAAAAAGAGTTATGGGAAAAGAAAGTGTGCTTTCTCTTTTGGATGCCTAACGAGAAACTCTGTTTAGGCCCACTTTTGGGGGGGCCTATATCATGAAACTACACCTACTACTTGTCGTCTCAAAAGAGTGTCCCATTTTTCCTCCTTTATTTTTTTTGGCATAATACCAAAAAAAACATAGTAAAATTTCTTAATTCGAACTAAGGTTGAAAGACTATTATTCACATTGTCATATCAAAATTATATATTTTGGAGACACAAAACTAGTTTTCGATTTGATGAACCCATGTGAATTTTGTGTCAGTTTTATTGTTGCCTTTCATGAATGATTAAACAAACCCACTTCGTATATCCTTGTCCTATAACCGATTAAAAGCAACTATGTCTGGGGTTATGGATTTAAATTCTGACATTTGCGAATGAAATAAATTGGGTTGGAAGGATCACCTTCGTCTTTATAGTACTCGTTTTAGATTAATCGATTAATAAATCAGATATCGATGATCATACCAAAAAAAATGAACTCAAGTTTATATGAATCCACTTCCTGACCAAACTGTCTTTCACCAATTGGTTTTGTACCCACAATAAACTCAGATTTATATGAAGTAAAAATATATGAAAATAGTTCACCCTTTTATAATTAGTATAAATTTGCGAAGAAAAACTGAAAATTGATACTATTATTTTGGATTGTTATTAACTGGCAGTATAGATTTGAGGTTATGGTGTGTGGGTTTGCAAGAAATATTTAGTATCGCATTATTTTGGGATCAAATTGACCCTTGAACTTATAAGTTGTTATAAATAAAGTTTGATGACCAGTTTGATCAAATTTCTTAGGTTTAAGGGAGAGCTTTCTGAAAATTTAAATATCATCATCTAATTGGATGAAAAATATGCATTCATGGAGGATTGAATCCTAAATTTAAAGTGGCCCAAGCCACGGGATCAAATGCTTCAATTGAATCACTAATTACAACAAATTTTATTTACTTATAATATTGTTAATGGTAGAAAAAAAATCATTCAAATGAGATTTCGAACCTAAGCCAATTATAAAATATAATAAACCCTAAATTAATTAAACAAACATAATATTATTTTACAATTAAATATGTTATATATATTTTAAACCGTAATTTATATATATTCAAAATAAAATATTTTTATAACATTAAATACGATTTAATATATATATATATATATATTCACGATGTATTTAGAATTCATAATTCCCCTCTCAATAATATTTCTTCCGTATATAAATTAAAACATAATTACAAATAATTTAGAATTCAAATTATAAATTGGGATATTTTATCAGGTATGTAGTATATCAACTTTATTTGGAAGATATCTTCAAGTTTAATCAAAATTTAAAGCTCAAGTTATATATAAATATTAAATTAGTTTATTTTTTAAAATAATATGAGATAATTAAAAAATAATATATGTATAAAATTTTCTTAAATAATTAATAACGCATACACTATGATAGAGACAAAGCTTTGTTGTGGCCCAAAGAGGTCCCGACCCCGTAAAAATTTTATATATTTGCTAGATTTTAGTGTAATACTTTAGTTCATGTAAAAATAAGTATTCAAATTAAAAATACAAGAATTTGGTAAATATTTAATCAAATAGGGCTAGACTATAGAAGGATGATCCCATGTTTTCAAAAAAAAATGGTCTAATAACAATTTATGTGGTTGTAAGTTTAAATATTAGACAAAGTAGACACTGTCTTCTGAATTTTGAATTTAAATACCTAATAATCTATTGTAAATATCTTAGCCTCTGCCAATATTTAATTATGGCTCTGTCCCTGCAATAGGGGTGAGCAAAACTCGATTCGAATCGAAAAAACTCAATTTAACTTTGAGTTGTAATTTCATAAACTCGACTTGACTCAAAAAAACATTCAAGTTCAAATTGAGTTATAAAATACAACTCGAATAACTCAATTTTTTTAGTAATTAGTGAATTTATTTTTTAAGTTTGAGTGGTATCTCTCAATTATATATAACATATGTATATCATATATGAAAAAAATATGATAAAATATATATGTATTTTATATGGTTATAAAAAACCATTTAAATTGAAATCAAATACTATTATAAATATTTACAATTAAATATAAACAAAATTTTGAAAATTCGACCCGACTTAAAAAAAATCAAATCAATTTTGAGTTATAAAATAAGACTCGTCAACTCGAATAACTTGAAAATTTTTACTCGATTTGATCGAATGCTCACCCCTAGAGTACACACCTTGTAGGCATAACTACTCGAACATAAGACCTCTAAGAACAACATCTCCAAACCAATGTTTAAGAAATAAGTTTAATTTATTTATTAAAGTTTATCTTCAAAGTATGAAATCTTGATAAAAATTAGACACAACTATGTTTAGTAGATAATCGGCCCAACTTGCTTTGAAGAAATAAAAACACTTTGGGTGCTCAACACTTTGGATGCACTAACTTTTCAACTATTCTTATCTTAGTTTTTAAAATTTAAAAATTCTTAATTTAATAATTGAACTTAACCCATTAACACTTCTAGTTACTATCCTTTTTAACCACTTAATTAAATAAAAAATATTTTTATTCCTCATAAAAACCAATAGTTTGATTTAGATCGTTTTATCACATTTTTTAAATTTTGATATTTTCAAAAAATATAATTTTATCTCAACCCTTCAACACAAACTTTATACTTTTTGCTCCTAAAGTGATAATCAATGAGCTTTGACTGGACAAAGTTGAAGGTGAAAACGGTTGCTCATAAGAACTGACAGATTGAAAAAGTTTTTAATGGGAAAATCACTTGATCCACACAAAAGGAAGAAAAGTATCCTAAAAAATTAGTTCCAAACAGGGTTTTAATGCCCGCAAAATAGCGGTAGTGTTGCCTTATGATATATCTGTTATACCCGCAATAATGTCCTCTACGACCGCAATCGCGGTAAACGATACATGACCGAAAACGCGACCGCGACCGCGATTTGAATCCAACTAGTGAATGCAAAAGAATGATGAATTGTTCTATGCATGTAGATGAAGCAAAGCAAAGAACATTTTGCTTTTCTAAAAGATTTGCCCTTCTTTCATGCAATTCACACACACCTACATTGCTTTTGTTAATGGCATTCTTCTCCTTTTTCCAAATAATCAAACAGCATCCTACTCAAGTCTCAAAATCATAAATGAGTTTTGGGAAATAAAATTATAATTAGACCCCATGAAAATGGAACAAGATAAACTTGCAGACAAGGAAGGGTCTCCTATTCCAATAACAGAAGCTCAAGACATGTTTAAAAAGGGTCTAAATGAAGCAACGCATCCACCTCCAACACTGCATTTAAGCTCATCTTCCCTTCACATGCAAAATAACTCCCCTGAACAACAAAACCCTCACTTTCTTTTACACGCTATTACTGTATTTCAAGACTCTGCACAATGCCACTTCTTTCATGTCTGCCCTTTGTTTTGCTTTCCTTGTTTCAGTTTCAGACAGGTTTCTCGGCTCTGATAGCGAGCTTGAAGAACCACCACTCACCACAACATCGGAACCCAATGTTCCAAACCAACCAAACCACCTGCTCATTGTTTGCCGGCACTTGGGTTCGCGATGATAGATACCCCTTATACCAATCTTCCAACTGCCCAATCATTGATGCAGAATTCAACTGCCAAATGAACGGGAGACCCGACTCTGATTACCTCAAATATCGATGGCAGCCTCTCAACTGTGTGCTCCCGAGGTTCAACGGACTCGTGTTTTTATCCAAAATGAGAGGGAAACACGTAATGTTCGTCGGTGATTCTCTGGGAAGGAACCAATGGGAATCTTTGATTTGTATGATCTCAGCTTCTGCACCCGAAATGCAGACTCAGATGGCCAAAGGAGATCCTCTCTCCACCATCAACTTCATTGTAAGTCATTTGTTAATGTTCGAAAGCAACATAAATACACATTCTTTCAATTGGATAACTGTTTCTAATGATAAAAAAAATGCAGGACTATGGTTTATCGATATCATTTTATAGAGCTCCATACTTGGTAGAAATAGACGTGATCGGAGGGAGAAGAATTCTCAAGTTAGATGACATATATGCAAACGGAAATGCCTGGACGACCGCGGACTTGCTGGTGTTCAACACAGGCCATTGGTGGAGCCATAAAGGATCCCTTCAAGGGTGGGATTTGATTGAAACAGGGGGAAAGTATTACAAGGACATTGATCGTTTGGTTGCATTGGAGAAAGGGTTGAGAACATGGGCTGATTGGGTCGACACCAATGTCGACGTAACTAAAACCAGAGTCTTTTTCCAATCCATTTCCCCCACGCATTACGAGTAAGTCCCTTGATATGTTCAATATATGATCTGTGACGTAAATTATATTAGTCTTTGATGAAATACTTTCGGATAGTCCTAGTGAATGGAATGCGGAAGCAACCGCGATCGTGACCAAAAACTGTTACGGAGAGACGTCACCGATGGCGGGAACGACCTACCCCGGCACGTACCCTGACCAGATGAGAGTGGTGGATGAAGTCATTAGAGAAATGCACGTCCCTACATATTTGTTGGACATAACCATGCTCTCTGAGCTTAGGAAAGATGGGCACCCTTCGGTTTACAGTGGTGATTTAAACCCTGCTCAGAGGGCTAACCCAGACGTCTCTGCTGATTGTAGCCATTGGTGCCTCCCTGGATTGCCTGACACTTGGAATGAACTGTTTTATACTGTCTTGTTCTATTGAGTTGTATGGTTTTACTTCATTGCATAATTAATAACATGTACTAATTTTGATTAGAAAAGGGTGCAAAACTGCATTTTTCTCTGTATTTATAGTTTCTCTCAACTCCTTTTACTCATGGTTATTGTTGATGTTTTCGATACCAGAATTTGTTTCCGTGTTTATGAAGGCGAAAGAAAAAATGTCGACTTAATTGATATGATACTAATATTTTGAGGGCAAGATTTCTGTAGAGGGGAAGAACTGAAGCTTTTGCACATTACACCAACAACAACAGGGAAGATTCCCATTAATGATCAACTTGCACTACAAAATATTTGATGACACACACAGAAAGCATAATAAACAACAAGTTGGTGATAACAAAGATGATCCGACGGTCACGGAATCTTTTACTTCTCGTAAACATCACCTATATTATACAACAAGAAGTTCCAAACTTCGATGGACATGCTAAAGATCCTACTCCCTTATTTAAAGTCAACACATTTTGATTCCTTCAAGAAGGCATGAACTAAATTTGTACGGCGACACCAGGAATTTCCATCATCCGCGGTATACTATCGATAACCTTGGATGGCTTGTTGTTGAGAGAAGTCTCAGTGTCGTACGCTGAGAGATGAACCCCCAAGGCAGCCCGGCCTGAAGGGTCGAGGTTGTTTTTCCAGGCAGCGTCCCACTCAACAGCTTTAGCAGTGCTGCAAGCCACACTAGCTCCTCCAGGGACAGTCAATCTAGCCGAGTTCTGTTAGACCAAGCAAAGGAATATGATCAGTGATCACTTTAGTAAATCATTGCGTAAACGTGTTCGAAACTGCAGAATTCTGGAAGTTACCTGAGGGAAGAACCTCTCGAAAATCGTTCTATAGTAATATGCTTCTTTTGTAGTAGGTGTGTTGTGAGGGAAGATGTAAGAAGCATTGAACATCATCTTATCAGTCACCTGAAAGATTATAATTGTCAAATTATAAACCATATGCTAAGCAAAAGCATATATAAGAGAGAACACATTGGAAAGATATTTACATGTCGTGCAGCATGGGCTTTGAGTCCATCTATCCAACTATAACCGACACCGTCACTAAACTGTTCCTTTTGTCTGTAGAGGATATGCTGCAGGACATCATATAGGACATGTTAGTTTAGCTTTATAGTTGACAAAGGTCAAAGACAACAAATGAAATGATGTTAGAATGTTTTAAGACCTTTGGCAGATAGGGATGTTTTTCGTCATCAAAGGCTCTTCTTAGAACCCATTTCTCGATGCGCCCTTCGTCTTTCTTGATCTGATTCATAAATAAAGGTATTCTTCATAAATCTGTAAATCTCAGTCTTGAATAAGGAAAAAAAATGTTTGCATACATACCATCTTCGCTTCAGGGTCTATAGACATCGCAACGTTGATAAATTCTTTGTCTAAGAAGGGGACTCGAGCCTCTAATCCCCACGCAGATGTTGCTTTGTTAGCTCTCAGGCAATCATATTGGTGAAGGGCCTTGATCTGCAGGGAAAATATAGCATCGGAACAGTGCGTATTTCGCTATATCCTTATGTTCCAACTCCCCTACTCATAAAGTGCCAAATAAGACGATGTTACCTTGTGGCATGTTTCGCGGTGGAACTCATCCTTGCTTGGTGCCTTGTGGAAGTACAAATATCCACCAAAGATCTCATCAGAGCCTTCACCGGAAATAACCATCTTCACTCCTAGTGACTTGATCTTCCTTGACATCAGAAACATAGGAGTGCTTGCCCTGATAGTGGTGACATCGTAAGTTTCGACGTGGTAGATGACGTCTTCAATGGCATCAATTCCATCCTGCCACATTGAAGAGTAATTTAGCTTGTTATAGGATTGTTAGACCCCAAATTCTTGAATAGAAAATGTTAATAAAATATCGAGTCAATACTTGAACAGTAAAATGAAACTCGTGATGGACAGTGCCCAGATAGTCTGCAACCTCCTTTGCCGCCTTCAAATCTGGTGAACCCTGCAGAGAAATCGACAATGAAGTTTTAAGAAGCTTTGAAGCTATACTTCAAGGTTTCATCGTATACTTTTAAGACTTACCTCTAGGCCAACACAAAAAGAATGGAGCTGAGCTCCCCACTGTTTGGCAGCCTTGGTGTCGGCCAAATACCGAGCGGTGATCGAAGCAACCAATGAAGAATCAAGGCCCCCAGATAGCAAAACTCCGAAAGGCACATCGGTCATCAGTCTTTTGGTCACAGCCTGTAAGCATATTCGATACTACCCGTAAGCCAAACTAACAGAAAAAAAGTAAGTATCAAGTGTTTCTTGGACCGCAAATCATCGATCTTACGTTTTCAAATGCACGTCGAAGAACTAGGGGATCATATGGAACCGATGGAATGGCCTCAGAGAACCAAGGTGGGTTGTACCACCTCCTAAATCCTCCTGATTTGCTAGAGTACAAGTGACCAGGGGGAAAGCATTCAAAATGTTCGCAGTCGTCGTTCAACCCTTTCAATTCGGACGATATCCAAACCGAACCTGATTACACAAAGTCGACAAGGGATTAGCAAAAGCCAGTTTCAAGTTCAACCCAAGTTACTTGCAACTGAGAAAATGCAAGATCTTATATACCGTCAAGTCCCCAGCCAATATAGAGGGACGTGACACCGACAGCATCGTGAGCAACGATAAAGCTGTTGTCCCGAGTGTCCAGCAACACAAATGAGAAGATTCCATCCAGCATGTCGACAAAATCTTCCCCGTGCTCCTCGTACTATCATATAGATTAAGTTTAATAAACAATTTTTACACTAACTAGAACAATAATTTGCCATGGAGACTTACCAGATGGGCAATAACATCACAGTCACTGCCAGTCCTGAACTTGTGGTTCACCAACTTCTTCCTCAGTTCTTCATGGTTGTAAATCTCTCCATTCACCTAGTTTTCACAACATAAATTGATCTTAAATGTTTGAAAAGTTAATTAGTGATCATAAAGGCAACAATTGGAGGATAGAGAAGCTTACAGTGACTGCAACAGTCTTGTCTTCGTTAAAGAGAGGTTGGTCACCCGAAGCAGGATCGATGATGGCAAGGCGTTGATGGGCCAAGTAGCAGTCTCCATGTTGGTGGAGGCCACTCCAATCAGGGCCGCGGTGCTTCAGCCTGTTCACAATATTACTAACTATTTCAGCTCCCTGTTTCTCTTAATCAATTTCTCCAATTAATTGTTTAATTATAGCCCAAACCCCACGTGGATTATCACTAATTAAGTTTCATCATAACCATGTCTTTTAGCTAAAAGAAAACACCCCATCCCAAAACTAAGAAAGTAGAAAAGAGAGAAAAAGAAAGAAAGAAGATTTGCCTGCGGGAAAGTTCCAACACTCGAACTCTTTTAGCCTGAGAATCATCGGAACAACCCAAAACTGCTAAAATCCCACACATTTTCTTTTGATTCTTGCTTTCTTTTCAAAAAGAAGTAGAGCAAGAAGAAGAAAGGGTTTTTATTACAGGGAAACTAAAACAGGGGAAGGAAACACGTTGCTGTGTTTTGAAATATCATGGAAGTCCCAAACGCAACGTATTTATAGCTGCAAAACTTCGGGGGTACCTTTCAAACGGCGATGTTTCGTCGCTTCCAGGGCCCACCTCTCAAGTCTCACACGTGTATTGTAGCGTTTGGTTATTGCTATTGCTGTTTTTGCCCGTTTTAACGGCTTTATCCACTTCCATTGCTGACTCAGCACCGAAATTTGTCAAATGTTAAAGTCGGTTGGATATTCATATTTCTTAAATTTCTATAAAATACTTAGATTCATATATCATTAGTTATTATTTGTAGTGAAACGGATATAATAATTATTAGTCATTTATATTATGGATGTCATAGCTGATGTGGAATTTCATTTTCTTAGTTTTGGCGATGCCACCTATGCCGTTGATAGGTTTTACTCAAAGATATGATCAAGGGAGTATCTCAAATAATCCAAATTGAATGGAGTAAATATATAAAATATTAACTGCGTACCTTTCTAAGTAATAATATTTTGGGTAAAGTATTAAATGGTCCCCCAATTATTAAAAGTTTAAAATGACCACTCAATTATTTATATGTTCCAAACTCTTTTTTTTTTGTTTAAAAATTGACGATCTTTTGAGTCGAACATTAATATGTCGATTATGTTATAATAAAATCATATATTTAATAATGCCTAGTGACACTGTCATTGCTTTCAAGCACAAACTTGATGACGTAATGCTTCAAGCATTGGCTCGATGATGTACTGTAAATGAAGAGTCGATCCACAAAATATAACTCAAACGATTATAAGATCATATTTTATTATATCTTAGTCAACAAATTAACATATTGCTTAGATGACAACCAATTTTTTAACTTAAAAATGAATTTGGAACATATAAATAGTCAGATAACTATTATAATTTTTAATAATCGGATGACCCAATAAAATAACGTTGACTAGATCATTTGTGTATTTTACCTTAATATTTTAAGATTTTGATTAAATAATAAAAACCGAATGAATAATGCATAGATAGTGGACACAATTATTGACAAAGAGTACTGAACGGATCATCGCGTATCAATAAAACGAATAAAACAACGTGACAAATAATCGATGCTCCAATACAAAAACAATAACTTTATAAAACAAAAATTAAATAAATCTTGTCATTTTGGTAAATTTGTTTGATTGATGGTCCATTATTTTTGTCTGTTTATTATTCCTCGTTGAAATAATCGTCCAATGGTTGTACAGTAGGTTAAAACGAATTACCCTTTTCTTACCTGATTAAAACAATTATAATTATAAATATTGTAATCATAATTAAAATTAATTTTAAATGATACTTTTTACTTTTTTTAAAAAAAATATCATTTTATTTTTTTTAAAAATTTAATTTTTATTAAATTAAACTGACTGATCGAAAAATAAATAAATAAATAACTTGCTGAGCTGACATCTTTTGTCCATGCTAACTTTAATAGATTACAAAATTAAAAACATTTTAAAAAATAATAATATATCTAAAATTATAAAAATTATAAAAATGGTATCGGTAATTACATTTAAATTGTTAAGAATTGTGAAATTTATAAAAAAAATATTAAAGGCGTGG